AACCCCCCCCCCCCCCCCCCCCCCCCCCACCGGTCTTCTTGGCAGGCATACACACCTGCTGCAGCCCCTCCCCTTTGCTTCCTGAACCGCCTCCTCCACCGGCGGTTGTGGTGAACGGTTCGATGCCGGCTTCCCAGCGTGCCATTCTTGGCGACTCCAGGCATCGGTCCGACCAAGCAGATGACAGCCCTGGCACACCCGCGTCCCTGGGTGAATATGCGGTGCGCGTACGGGGTGGAGTACGCGTTGTGTGTGGTTGGAACACCGAAGGTCGTAAAAAAAAAAACTCCACTATATAGCAGCCGAAAGCAGTCAGCGCTGGTCGGTCTCTTGGTGTGATTTCGGAAGCAAAAAATCATGCTCGAACACGGAGTACCAGTTGCAGTGGGGATCGTTGAGAGAATCGTGTTCTCTCCAACACGCCTGCGCATGCATCCAGACTTGTGATTTCAATCTACAGATGGCGTCTTTTGCTGTAGGTTGGCTTTTGTGATGATGTATTTCAACGGTGACAACACTTTGTGTCGGCCAATCAGAAGAGGGGAATCCTCGGCACGCTGCCTCCGTACCGCCAAAACCAGGGTAAGAACAAACAATGCCCTTGCGACGGCTGCGTCGCGCCGAAAACTGACCCCCAACCTGAAGCGTATGCTTCTATTTTGAGGCACACGCTTTCCGCACGTCGCAGATTCGAACAGGCTCAAGACTACCAGTAGCGGACAAAAAACACAGAGCGCAGGTATACGGTACAATACCTGACTGCCCCTTCCACAGGAGCCAAGTTCTCCCGGAACATGAAGTTCAGGTGCACCGGCCCGGGGACCCCCCCACCTCCCAGCGCTCTCGACACGGCGTGGTCGATGTCGGAGAGCAGGCAAGCCGCGCTGACTTCGTCCGTGGGGCACTGCACGTCCATGGACAGTCTCGCGCGCGAGCCAAGAAGGTTAACCTAGACGACGAGAACGACGAGGACGACGAGGGTGACGGGTTCGGGGTTGAGACCAGACCACATGGCAAGCCAAAAAGAAGAAGGAGAAGCACATTCAGCGGAGGCAAGGATGAGCGCCGGCGGGGAAACAAACAACAAGGCCCATTGAAGGTTATATCTAGCCTGGGATAACAAACGCACGAGGATAGGTGTAGCGACACGTCGCGCTTAGGGACACGTCGCGCTTAGGGACACGTCGCGCTTAGGGAAAGGACTTTAAGTGCATGGGCGTGAGGAAAAGGCTATAAACTACATATGCATACAGCCCGGGATAAAAACACAAATCGATAGGCTCTCGAGAGGGGCACCGCAGAGTGGACAGTGATCCCTGGGCCACTGAAGCGGACGTCTTTGCATTGGTCAGTCGTTATTTCGGCCGGCACCCGTTAGTACACGCACCCACCACTATGTTTGAATCAGAGTGACGGACCTTCATTGGTCAGCAGGTTTACGCTGCCGATGCTAGTAGGCGGGACACACACAAGCACTTCTTTATCTCGCTCATGTACTTTTTCTGTAGGTCAGCCGGTGGACGCCATAACCAAAACAAACACACAAGACACACACACACACACACATGCAGCATCTCGCCTGATCAATGGTCTGGTTGCTGCCGCACCCCCGCAGCTCCGGCGGCCTGTCCGCCGTGAGCAGCAACATCGACAATCCCGCCGCGTCCGCCTCCGCCGCGGCGGGCAACAGGTTCGCCACCGCAGTGCCGGAACTGGTCACAACGGCGCATATCCCCAGCGCACCAGTACCCACACCGCCACCGCCACCGCCGCCGGCGTTGTCAGATGTGGAGGACGAGTGCGCCCTGCCCCCCCTCCCCGGCCCCGCACGAGCAAAGCCTACAGCGTAGAAACCAGCTCCGCGTTCATCGTGGTGAGATATCGAAACCGCTGATGGATGCCTGGGAGAGAAAACGGCCGGATAAAGGCGTGCACGCGAAGGGTACCCATGTTTTGCACGCCTTAGTTGTTGGACTGCTTAGTTGTTAGACCGTGAACGCGAGAGGACCAAGCGTTTGCACGCGGTGGGGGGGGGGG